ACTCACAGATATAAAAGCTCTTAAAAAGTAACAACAAAAAGCTGAAGATAACTGAAGATAACTGTCTAAATATTGAATATCTACACATGCACATACCGGTACATCTATGTACATACAAACTACCCACAAAACACCAAAAAGAACTATCTCTCTTATAAAAGCGAGTATTTCATGCTCAATATTTATAAGTACGTAATTTTTCTTGAAGTCAAGAAATAAAGACTGCCAAATTAGTTAAAGTACCAGAAAGAACGCTGGCAGTTTCGACGTCTTATCTGACAACCAAACTGTTTCAAAAGGTAACTGTGATCATCACTCTAAGGCTTAGGGTCAAGGCAACCCAATGTAGCAATCATTATGACGTTACCAGCATTCAAATAACCAGCGTCCCTTTAACAATCTTAATTTTCAATCGGTTTCTATCTTGTCATTTGGCAAGATGTAATTACATTACATTACATGTATACCTTTAAACTTATAATAATATATTTGATAATAATAAACCATCTTTTCTTCGTACAAAAAATACTCATATCATAATTATGATCATTATTCTTGACGTAATATATTTCGTAATATTTTTGTTCAATATTAAAGTGGCATTATTCTCATTTTTTTCATTGTCAAGTTGCTGTGAAGACTATATATATTTTTTTAAAAGAAAAGATTGTTATAACGGTGATTGACCAACGGTTGATATTGGAAAATGTTAAGAATAAATTAATAAGTTCTGACTCAACTATCCCTCTCTTTTTATCAATTGAACGTTATAGATAAATTCCGATTGATATTAACAGAAATTTCCTTGAGCAATACGAGTTATTTATCGTTCATGCGACGTAAATTATAAGGTTGCAAAATGAAAACTTATTTTGATTTTCACCAGTTCACTTACTAGATTCCCTTGGACGGACATAATGCCACACAAGGCAATTAATGTAAAAATGGGACATGAATATAATGTTCCTTGTTAAAACAAGTACTAGTAAAAAAAGATAATCTTTTATTACAGAATAATACAATGTATACATATAAAAATAGGAATACAGGGATGAATGATTATGGCCACTTGCACGGTATGATTTAGTCATATTTGTTTTGTTGTTCTCACAGGCATAAGTAAAGTCTGACTATTTTATAGACTAACATTAAGAAAATGTGGTGTTCTAAAACACTGACGGAACATTTGCTTGTTCAATGAACTATGCAAATTAGAATAGGAGACTTTAAAACGATGCTAAATTGTTTAATATATCTACGCAATCAAAGCTATTTATATTACATGGGCTGTATGTACATGAGCAAAATTGAAATTTGATAAGCTAAGGGAGGCAACTCACTTTGAAATATGAGAGTATTTCGTGACGAGTAAAAATACATTTTATAACTTCCCCCCACACAAAGTTCATACCTGCATGCTCTGTGCACATATGTCTTGCCAATAATGGTCAAATTATCATGAAATAATCTCCCCTTGATCATCAAGAACAAAAATACCTTCCACCACCCGTTTACTATATATAATATATACTATATTTACTGTAGCTTTCGATCTTTCGGCCTTCTTGTCGGCATTTATTATACATACAAAATCAATATATTCAGACAAAACAAGAGAAGTGACGTAACGTCATTGACCGACGCCCGGCGTGGCGTCGTGTGCGTCTTTCGCGATATTCTCGTAAGGTCGATATGTTCTTAACTTATATTTCCACATATTTCCCATTGTCGTTCTATATTGGTCATTCCCATATGTTTTTCGAGCCCTATTATCGAAAATCACTGACAGTGTGCCAGTTTAAGCAACAAAACGGAAAAACTATTATAATCTCAAACTGTCTTTTGGATTACGCTGTGGTGTAGCCTTAGGCTTTTTCATTTTTATACTTTTTCCAACGTATTTAGTAAACGGGTGCTGGAGAGTGGATCTTATTGTTTTCTTGGTGATCAAGGGGAGATTATTGACAAGACAAATGTGCCGAACGCTTGTGCTTTCAATCATATTATAAATAGGTAGGCGACCTTTATATCCCTTATATAACTTATTTTATCAGAATGGATTCTGGTTTCCAGCAGCTTCAGTAATCAGCATAATGGCTAGGAACCAACCCGGACTCAGATCTCGAGAGCCTTAGGGAACCTATTGATGCCTATGTTAACGACAACGGCGGAGGTATCGAACCTCCGATTGGTAGCCAGCTCTGTTGGCTCTATTTCCGAATAGGTCTCATCCATGTGCCTGCCGATTAAAAACTATTCACCGTACCTTACATACTTGTGCACAAATTGACGATAAATACACTATACCTATATAGCCAATTGAAAGGACATGCCAAATATAAATCAAAGCACAGAAGGCGCTGAATTTGTTTGGGTCTCAGAATGTCAGAAAGGTGAAGGTTGTGAGATTATAAAACAATTTGTTTTTGTATAGTGCCACCAATGCTTTCCAGCGTTTTAATTGTAGTAGATTGGCTATAAGACTAATTGCAACACTGATATTCGATCCAATGTTTATTTGACTTAAACAATTTGAAAAAAAAAGAGTTGCCTTAACTGGGATTTGAACTCCAGACCTCTCGCTTCCTAAGCGAGCGCGCAAACCCCTCGGCCACGGTGGATTTACATGTTAACGGCCTGAAGAAAACCATATTATTCTAGTTAGGGTTTGTAACGACGCTAACTGTTGTTTAACACTTGTGTAAATAATCATGGCGCTTACTATAAGCATGTATATCTATAAAGAATAAAACAATATTAGAAATCTTCGACCATTCGGGAATTATTTTGCTTGAAAATTAATCCGCCTGTCATGTGACCATATTTACGCAGTGATCTCCCCTAAATTTTCGGCCTAAGTGTTACATATAAAGGGAAGTAACCGTAAAAAGCGGACTACTTTCGGCACTTGCAATTAACAGCATTAGAGTCTGAAATTTCGCTACCATTATTTGTTTGGTCTGACGACCCAAACAAATAAAAACTGGTTAACATACAAATTTAGTGGGTTTTAGAAACTGTTCATTTTGTTGCGATTTTTACAGTCATTTCACAGTGGCCTATTTGTTTTGCTATTTTTTTCTAGTTTCTTATCGATGAATTGTTAATATAATTCTAAGTAGTAAGTATGATATGTGGAATTTTGTATGGTCCAAATTTGAACAAAATCAGTCCACAAATAACTGATTTATACAGAAAAATGTAAGAGGTGGGTCATAAGTGCCTCTGAGTGTATACATGTATATACATTTTGTAATATATTTTATACCTTAGCGAAATTACGGTGACATAAAGGTGACATGTGTGTGTGTTTTTATTTATGTCGTGCGCACCAGATAGCTAGGTCGTAGCTGAGCAATCAAGCAAAGCATTTTACACTATATTTAGGAATGCCCCGCAAGATTGCACAGCCAGAAGAGCATTCCAGCATTGTATTTCAGAATGCTTTACTAGATTGCTTTGCCATCTGAGCATTGTAGCAGAGCATTTTTGCACTTTATTTAAGAACTTCCCGCTAGATTACTAAGCTACCTGTGCAATACAGCAGAGCATTTACATTATATTTAGGAATGCACTGCTACACTGCCTAGCCAGATGAGCATTCAAGCAGAGCAGTTTTACACTTTATTTTGGAATTCTCAGCTATATTGCTCTGTCAGTTCGGCATTCCAGCAGAGCATTTTTATACTATAATTAGGAATATCCCTTAGATTGATCATGCATTTTTACTCTATATGTCAAAATGCTCTGCTAGATTGCCTTGCCAGCTGAGCATTCCTGCTGAGCAATTAACTTTACAATTTTTAAAAATGCCTCGCTAGATTGTTTTGTCATATCGGCATTCCATGAGAACATTTATTTCACTATATGTAAGAATGCCACGCTAGATTGCTATGCTAGTTCGGCATTTCAGCAGAGCATTTTTATACTATAATTAAGAATACCCCCTAGATTACTTAACCAGATTAGCGTTCCACAAAGCATTTTTTGCACTATATCTATGAATGCCCTGTATTCAGTATCCCTGCAGAGCATTTTCACACTACATTATTTCAGAATGCTCTGTCACATTACTTAGCCAGCTGAGCATTGCAGCAGTGCATTTCTTGCACTATATTTAGGAATGCCCTGCTAGATTGCTCAGCCAGGTAAGCATTCCAGCAGAGCATTTTAATACAACATTTAGGAATGCCCTGCTAGATTGCTTATCCAGCTGAGCATTCCAGCAGAGCAATTTACTTTACTATTTTTAGAATTGTCCCGCTAAATTGCGTTGTCAGTCCGGCATTCCAGGAGAACATTTACTATATATAAGAATACCACGCTAGATTGCTCTGCTAGGAACAAAATTTCGCAGTAATTAAAATTAAGTCAGTACGTTATAGAATTTCTTTAATATTTACTGCAGTTCGGTACTGTAGTGTAATGGATAAGTGAAATTTCCAATCAGTATGTAAAAAGTTTTAAGTGACATATCTTAATGTAGGTTACATAAATGATATTTCATATTTATATATATTGAATTATATATCAGATGCCATAGGAAAAACTTTGCAAAATCCCATTTCGCGAAACAGAGTTTCTTTCGCAAATCCTTTCCGTTCACTATTTTGATACATGTTCGCAAACTCCTCACACTGATTACCTCCCTTGGCAGAATTCTAATCACTGCCTTCACAGACGTCACATGATGATGAAAGTCACATGACGTAACGTCGAAATTCAAATGTAAATATCGTCCGTTACATAGAAAATCTAACTTCATTTTTCTCTTTCTGTTTTATTTTTAACTTTTTGTACCTACGTCCGTTATATTTTAACAAAAAATTATCAAAAGTACACAAAATAATGAAAAATAAATTAAAAAGCTAAAAAATATAAATATCCAAATTTGGATATTTCAATGTTTGTGATGGCAGAGATCTCTGTACTGATAAGGGGAGATCACTGCGTAGGAGATTGACATGTTCGTGAATTGTCTATATGTTCGTTTTAAAATCCATTTCGTTTCTCATTCAATGTAAAGCTTGCAGCGCCGCCTATCCGAATCGCTTTGTTTAGAAAAAGCGTTAATTTTTCTTAAAAAATAGGTAATGCGACTGAAATAACCAGTCATTTTGTTTTTTAATTTGATTTTCTTACTATTATTATTGTTTATGCATGCTTCTTGATACCCTCAGTCTTAGTGAAACCTAAAATTAGCCGATTGTTTGATCATTTTCAGTGCAGAGTTAGCTACTAGACTAAATTTAGTTTCATCAGACCGTTAGAGATCTAACAGCACCAGCACTATTTTCTGTATGTCTGTAGTCTATGAGGGTCCATCCGCCCGTAAGGGCACAAATTTGAAAATGCAGTACGGACCCCGGCCCGGACATCTTCCAAATTTATATAGCTGGCCACCTTCAACTAACTGAAGTTTACTGCAATGTTAATGCACAAGAGGGAAAGAAAGAGTAAAGTAGTGAGACAATGCCGGTTAAAAACTGGCAAGAGTGCGGTTTAGATAAAGATTTGGGACAGATGAGTACGGAATGACTCAACTTTTCTTTTTCAGCTTTTCTTTTCACTTTTTACTAACAATCCGACATGCACTAAATTCCTGCCTTTATGGCTGCTTTTCCTTAAGTCGTGGGTTTTCCTTGAGTCGTGGGTGGGTTAAAATCGTAGATGACTTTTTGTATGGTTAAAAATGTATTTTAATTATATATATTTCTTATAATGTGTTGTTAAAAAGTTGTAAATACTGTAATAATCGAATAATTTGGCCATTTGTACGGTTTGTTTACATTTTTTGACAACAACAACAACAACAACCTACTGGTTTCCGGTGTTTGGAACAGGTGCGACTTTATTTCAAGCCAAAATTGGGCCCACAGAAAGTCTCACTGAACTATTAATTGAAATATAAACTAACACTTGGTCATCGGCATCATTATATCTATTATCGATCCATTATCCATCTTGAATAAAATTTTGAAATCATTTGTTGTATCTCCGTCTTTTTGCAACTAGTTGTGTTTGTTTATAAAGCAAAATGAACTGTATAGGATACATTTGAAAACCACATTGCCTCATTAAAATATCATTTGCAATTGTTGCTACAATTTTGTTAATGTATAAAAGATTTTGAAGGCAGAATGAGAGTTGCCCTGACGTTTTATTTTAGTTTCATTACAAACTCTAATAGATCATTTTGAAGACTGTTAAGTACCGAATAAATTAATCAAATCTGACTCTAAATCGCTAAAGATAGAAGTTTCTAGTCATATAATGATGTTTAATAAATTGGTATGGTAACTTGAAATAGTTCACTGAGATTTGACAAATGTTTTCTTACACTACTGTTGACATACATGTAAGCCACGACTCAAGGAAAAGCAAAATGCATGTGAATGCAAAATGGTACCTATATAAAATGAGCTAGATAATCGGAAATAAGTCTTATGGGATGCATAAATGATCATGACAGTGCAAAATACAAATAGTTCAACATTTTCTGGTAATTTCCATGCTTGTTCCTGTGATGTCATCATACGTCACTGGTCTATTTTTAGAAATGCCCACGACTCTTGGTAAATAAAGCATAACACTTGTCACAGGGGTTGGCAGTATCCAGGGATAGATAGATAGAATTTTAGAGGCTTACATAACTCCGGAGGGCGGCAGCACGAAATACCCAAATACATCCAAATATAGCAAATCCCAATATACATTTTTTGTTTGTATAAAATACAGATTATAATCAGAAAATGAATTAATATTTATAAAATAATATGACTGAGCTGGCTATTACTTTCAATCATTCCGTTGAACTATGAATTGGGTAACCCTGGTTCTATTCCCTAACGACGCAAGCCAAATTTGTTGTGATTGATCTAAGGTCATTTATGAAACCGACTATAAATAAAGATTATCTTATCTTACACTTTAAATTTGCACTTGTCTGTAGAGAAGTAATCATTTCCTTACAAGTGAAAGTGAAGGCAACTGGTATTGGTAAACTGCTTGACAGCCTGCCCAGGAACGTTGGGTGGCTGAACTGTGTTCTAGTAAATTTTATGTGGCTTATTGCCATGATCTGGAGTGAAAACTACCAACACCGCCAAGCCCATGTGGGGGGAACAGTGCTTGAAAAGCAATTTGGGGAGTATTGTCAATTGTGCATTACAGGTTGGAGAGATAACTCCGACAGGGTACGAGTATCGCTACTTTGGTTATACTCGTTTTATATTGCAGCGTTAAATTTACCAATTCTTATCAGAGGGGAAATTGGGGGAAATGTTCGATTCATAGAGGTTGAAAATGTAGGCTCCTTGGCTGGGGGAGATACCAGATATTTATTGGCTACTATAGAATAAAAAAAAAATGTACTATTAAATTTTCGAAAATACTTGACAAAAATTGAACACTAGCTCTTGATTCTAACAAAAATTTAAGGCTATAAAGTTTCATTTAGGCGCAGGGCTCTCAGTAGGGTTAGAATTTCACGAGTCAAAGACTCTTTGGCTAAAATTTTCATGAGTCAAATAATTTTTTTCTAGTGTCATTTGACTACATGTATCATTTTTATGTTACAAAAATAAATGTATTGGAGGTCATTTTTGGAGATTCCAAAGTCTAAATTGACAGAAAAAAATGCCTAATTATAAATGTCTATACCCCCACCACCTAAAAAACAAAACAAAAAACAAATAAAACAAAAACATGAATTGCTGTGAAAGAATAAAATAAGCAGCAGCTTTTCTGATTAAATGTATAAAATATAAAAAAATATCTTTACTGGTATGCTATATCATATTAATTTTAAATACCAAAATGTACCAGGAATATTTATAAGAAATGCACAGGTACTCCAAGTAAATGAAAGACGTATTATAAACCTTCAGAAGCAATCAATAATTGACACCTCAAGTATGTAATTCTTATCAGTTGTGTAGAGCTATTTTTAGCGCTGTCAAATTGCTGCCACTGAATTGTCGCGCTTCAGTGCACAGGGTATAAACAATTTCCGTGTTTAAAGCATTTTATACACATCTTATACTGCCTGTTGACATTTTTTATGAGTGTGATTTGAACACATGTAGGATTTGATAGATAATTAGGGGTGGATTTAAGGTAATTATTATTGCATAGCTGAAAATCCTATGTGGAAAATTGACTCTTGAGCAGATTTTATCACGTGTCAAATATGTGCATTTCCCGATTTTCACGAGTCAAAACCCGGATCCCCGTGTCAATCAAGAGCCCTGTTTAGGCGGGAAAATTCATTTATTTTACTGGACAAGTTCTTGGGTCCAAGGGTCTTGGGGAATGACGTCAGCATCATGATCATGAGTAGCTCAAGAGACTTCAGCGACAATTTTTATGGAGGTCAGAACTACAACATGAGCTGCCATAACAAAAATAATGATTTTCAAATTATAGTTTGAACATGATCTTATTATTTTATTTTACAAAAAGTAACAATCTGAATCATGTGTTCATATATATTCTTTTTCTTAGATATCAAAAAGAAAGAAGTGGACATACCTTGAATCGATTTACAAATCTGATAGGTTTATAAATTCATGTAGAATATTAAAAATTTTACAGAAAAAATATTCTTATGAACAATCTTTCTTGTTGAGCATCCTTTAATATTTGTATCTTTACATTTCTGACCCTTTTTAGCTCGACTTTTCTATGAAAAGGGGAGCTATCCTACTCGCCCCGGCGTCGGCGTCGGCGTTAGCGTTGGCGTCACACCTTGGTTAAGTTTTTCGTACCACCCCACTTTATTTCAGAAGTATTACAAGTATGGCTTTGAAACTTACCATACTTGTTCACCATCATAACCTCCATCTACAGACAAGAGTACATAACTCTGTCAAGGTTTTTGACAGAATTATGGCCCTTTTTTGACTTAGAAAGTGTATTGAGCTTGGTTAAGTTTTTTGTACCACCTCACTTTATTTCAAAACCATTGGAGGTATTGCTTTGAAACTGACCATACTTGTTTACCATCACGACCTTCATCAACAGACAAGAGGACATAACTCTGTCAAGGTTTTTGACAGAATTATGCCCCTTTTTGACTTAGAAAATACATTGAATATGGGTAAAATCCACTTATTGCCTTAACCCTTTGAGATATTGCTTTGAAACTTTTAATGCTATTTCACATCATTACCCCCATCTGTACGCAAGAGAAGGTAACTCTGTCAAGGATTTGTTTTAAAAATTAAGGCCTTTTATCGACTTAGAATCTTGGTTAAGTTTTTTGTACCACCTCACTTTATTTCAAAACCATTGGAGGTATTGCTTTGAAACTGACCATACTTGTTTACCATCACGACCTTCATCAACAGACAAGAGGACATAACTCTGTCAAGGTTTTTGACAGAATTATGCCCCTTTTTGACTTAGAAAATACATTGAATATGGGTAAAATCCACTTATTGCCTTAACCCTTTGAGATATTGCTTTGAAACTTTTAATGCTATTTCACATCATTACCCCCATCTGTACGCAAGAGAAGGTAACTCTGTCAAGGATTTGTTTTAAAAATTAAGGCCTTTTATCGACTTAGAATCTTGGTTAAGTTTTTAGTACCAGTCCACTTTTTGACTGAACTGTTTGAGATATTAATTTGAAAGTTGGAATACTTGTTTACAATCATGATTCCCAAACATGTCCAGGAGAAGGTAATTCTGTCAAAGATTTTATTTGAATTATGGCCCTTAACTGTCAATGTTTTGTATTATAGGCAAGCACTAAAAAAGTCGAGCGCGCTGTCTTACGGACAGCTCTTGTTATAGCTCTCTACTGACAATGTAGCGGTTGGTTCTTATGACAGTCTTTGCTACATATTGTTTTGACAAGTATGCTCCCTACTGCTATGCTAAAAATCAAACCTAGGAAGAGAATAACCTACCGGTATTTTGTCAATCTGACATGTAGAATGCAGTTAAAATGTTTAAATGCAATTCCTCAAAAGTGAAGGACCTGATTTAACAAAAATGTCTTGACAGTCTGTTTTAAGACCTGTTATCAAATGTTTATTAAGGAATATGCTGCTCATTTGAATTTTGACTTCTACAAATTTTCTTTTGATATTTGTCTGGCCCATCAAATTTGAAAAGATGATTCCCTATCTCGCTAGATTTAACACTGGCTGAGTGAGTGTCAGGTCTCGGGGATATGCATGAATTTTAGACATATTCAGATAAGATTTGACATAGTCAAAGTACTTTCTTTGTTCATTGTTTATATCAATGCAAGCATTGTCAATCACCATGTTACCAGCTAGAATGTGGTATTACAGTTTGTTTAAAAGTGATGATTTATCTTTACAGTGACAGACAAGAATATTGTAATGGCGTTACCAAGTTTTAGAAATCCTCCACAGACTCCTCCAAGCATGTGTATGTATAATTTATTTGTCACTGTTGCTTCTAAGGTTAAACTATTGAGGAAGACGGGCCTGTAGAATAAAATTTTCAAGAATTTTTTTTTGAAAAATACTACATGTTTATTTATAAATATCAAAATTCACATTTTTTTTTACATTCTACAGAATTATAAATTTTAAAGAATAACTGCCAGCTTAAGAGTGCATTTAAAATTCTACTTCAGTGTTCTGTGTACAGTGGTATAGTCCTGAAGAAAAGTATACTATACATTGAAAAAAAATATCTGAAAATAAAAGCTTACCTATGCAAACAAAATTTTTGATGATCATCTGATGAAATAAATACTTGATACTAAATATATCAAATCAAATTTCTCTTTTCTCTCATGACTTGAGTTTTATTCTTGTTATTAGTTATGACAATTAACTATCAATAAAGTTATGTAACTTGAGTTATAAAAATATGCAAATTAGTTGATTGTAAATGTGTTTACTTTTCAGCGAGGTCTAGGTCAGAAAGAAGTCTGCAAGGAGAATCTGGTGGCAGGGTAATTGTTTACAGACAATTAGTAGCTAATATTACGTATTGTAGTGACGGAAAACAGTTATATGTAAAATAGTGTTTAGTTGATTAATGAACTTTCTTTTAAGTGATTACATAAAGTTTTATTATATTTGACTGGAATAAGAGTTGCTTTATGGCTACAAAATACACATGATAGTAAATATATATTATAAAGGCTAATAAAATATTGAACATATTTGAAAATTAGGCTATATAAAAATTGACATAATCTGCTTTGATATTATTTTGTAAATTTTTTAATTGTTGACTATTTTTACAGGGTTCCAGTAGTCCTTTTGTGTCTTCTGGTAACAGCAATCCAAACTTCAATCCTGTCAAGTTAACCACCAAATCTGCAAGCTTTAGTTCAAGAACATCCAATGTAAGTTATTTTGTATATATTTTCACTGTTTGCTGGGAAAAATTTTATGATAATAAATTCATTTTATGTCATTGTTAAGTTAATGAAGTTAAGACGTGTTACAGTACATTTTAAATTTGATAAGCCTCATCATGATTTTGCCAAGTACAGAATGGTGAGTTTCTTTCGTTAAATGGTTGTGAAAGTTCTGCCTAATTAAGTTCATATATAGGTTAAATGATATGTGTTAAGCAAGTGAATTTGTTGTTGCTAATAAATGAATATCTTATGATATCTTGAACTGCATAAAACAAATTATTTCTAGTTTTTCAGAGAAGCAACAGTTCACTGCTATTTAAGAAGTATGTTTAGAAATATCTTTGCAGTGTTAATTTTATGCAATAGACTTGCTGAGTTATTAAATTGACAGTGTAAGGAATTTCTGTGTGAATTAAGAGGTCATCAATGATACAACAAAGGAAGGTCAAACTGCTGTGATATCCTGGCTGGCCTGACTGGTGACATAGACAAATCATTATATCTACAAGATATATGAGAATGTTACAGCATTTTGTTTCTAATGTTACAGATTGACTCTAGATTACCAAAGCCACCTAAACCTCCAGATAAGCCACTGATGCCTTATATGAGATACAGCAGAAAGGTGGGTGCCTTTTCTTAATCGTATTGTTATAGAATTTGTATATTTCTTCTGTTTTCAAACATAAGTGGGGAAAGAAACGGTGCTTTTATTTTTGTGTAGTATGTGTGAAGTTTGTACAAAGTTATCCCTTATAAAAAGAGTATAGGATGAGAAACATACAAATGTTATACTTTGTTAATAAAAAACAACAACAATACATGATACATAGCAATTGCATCTTTTGTATTTAAATAATCAATTTTCTTAATGTTTTTAAAATTTGGAATGAGTATAATTGTAGATTTGACATAACCAAAGTTGGGATTTTGTCTATTACGAATATGAAATGATGCTGAAATCTGTGTACCCATTTAAACTAAATACCAAAAGCATTATCAGTTTTAATTTGTAAAAATCAGTTTTAATTTTAAAAGGATAATGACTGTTTTGGTTTAAACAAAATTCTCTTTTATACAGCATAAAGAATAGTACAAGAAGTAGTGTCCTGTTTGTTAACTTTTACTGCACTCAATGTGCATTGTCTGATAATAGATATAATGTATATGTTACTACAGAATGTTTGCAGTAAAACATTTTATGTTGCATCTGGAAGAAAATTGATCATTTGATCATTCACGAAAGAATGTAGGGTGTGAAAATTGATTCCAAAACATACAGGTTAATAAAAAAATGACGCATCTAGATTTAGCTTACAAATGAAAGGGTACTTCCATGCTTTGTCCATATGTTTAGATATGGGATGAAGTGAAGAACAGTAATCCGGAGTTGAAGTTATGGGAGATAGGGAAGATAATAGGTCAAATGTGGCGAGATCTCAATGACTCGGAAAAACAAGCATTCACGGATGACTACGAGACAGAAAAGGTATGGGATAGCGCTATATCATGTTTCTCATTTTGGTGTGTTTAGGTTTGGGACGAAGTGAAAGTCCGGCACCCTGACCTGAAGCTGTCCGAGATTGCAAAGGTTATAGGTCAGATGTGGCGAGATCTAAGTGACTCGGAGAAACAGTTTTATCTGGACGAGTATGATACAGAGAAGGTAGAGCATGTTGTTGTAGACAAGTATGCTTGCTTGGTGTTGTACAGATAATCATGCCGATAACTCATATATTATTGTATCATACAGGCCTTTTTCTTACTAAGATGTAACTTCTGTTAAAATGGTGACATTCACAAAATGAGAAAAAATAACATTATAGTGCTTTTATTAAGTTTCAAAATTCAAAAGTCTGAGTTACTGGAAGTCATATTATATAAGAAAAGAAAGAAAAGCATTATAGCTTGGAAGTCACAAGCCAAGATCAAGGGGTAAATGACTCCCAAACTTCCATTAATGGAAGCTCTGACATTATCTCACATTGTAAGAGTGTATTCCTATTTGGTGGCTATAGTTGACAAAGTTCTTTTTGTATGAACTATTTTAAAGTTTAAGTTGTTTAAATTTTATGTATTTTTCGTCTGAGTGTACCGGTAGATGGTTTTGGATAAATATTGGAAAAAGGCCTGTTGTATAACATTTGCATGATGTTTACTTTCAGGGAGGCATTTATCATTGTATTACAGTATTGCTTTTGTACCATGCAGTTTTAAATATGCTTTTAGTTTGTAGAAAAAAAACACATGAATACAGGCAGAAGGTGGCCCAGCTGACATAAATATATATGACCCTTTTTTATTTTGTAGACAAATAGGTTTTAATGCATGGGTTGAGAAGAAAGTAAAGGTGTTAGTTAGAAAAGTGCTCATCTTGGTATTATTAGTGGTAGCATCAGAAAAATATGCTAAAAATAAAACTGGATAATAGTATTCATATCATTTCTTAAAATTTAAGTGATAAACTTTCCAAGAATATATTTTCATTAAAATTGTTTTGCACATTAACAAAGGCTCAGCAAGATTTGTACATTGAAAATCTTTAGATTTCAGTGGCTTAACAATTCAGATCGAAGATTTTTATATCCCAACTTTACTATTTTATGTTGGCACATTGGTTGCGGTATTGATTATTTTAGCTGACAATATATGAGCTGCGTCATGACAAAACCAACATAAAGCGTTTGCGACCAGCACAGATCCAAACCAGCCTGCGCATCCGCGCAGTCTGATCTGCATCCATGCTGGTCGCAAACGCATTATGTTGGTTTTGTCATGACACGGCTCATATTACTCTGGTTATATATAGTTATAGTAATGATGTATATGGTTTTATTTACAGCAAGCGTATCATGAATCTATGAAGAATTATCACAACTCTCAGGCATACCAGGCATGGGTTGCTGCAAAGGGCAGATGTAAGTGTATAGATAAATAAATGTCATATTAATATATATCGATCAGCATGTTGTTTTGTACAGGTCTTGTCTGTAAATTATAAAAAAAATTCTTGAATACTTTACTATTTACTTTTGATTCATATCCTTGCAGAAAGGTTTTTGGTACATTGTACTAACAAAAAATATTTTCAGTTAAACATCTGCTTTACAAAACTAGATTAGAATTTGTATTTGTGTATGTAAGAATTCAATAGTCAACCATAAAGAATTTTACTCCATACTTCATTATACAAAGAGTACATATTTAACAATTGTCATTGAATAATAAAATATAAATGTTTTGGAAAGAAGCACATAGCATCTTTTTTGCACAAAGGATTGGTCAGATTTTAATTTTTCATCTTTTCGAACTTCAATGTATAGTTAAGTTAAAATAAAATTAAAATAAAAACATTACATTATTTATTGTTAAACTTGTTTTCAAATCAAGTCTTAACTTAGTGATTATTCTAGACTTGAAAAAGGGGCAGGGAGGCACCAAAAAGGGGCAGGGTGGAACATGTGTCAAAGGGAAACGCTTCACATTTAAAACATGATTTTTAAAGACTCAGAATTTTTAGATGATAGGTATATAGCACAGACAAAGACAAAGCAAAAGAACACTTTTATTTCAAATCATTTTTAAATACATGTATTTAACAACTCATAGCATCACAATTGACCAAAATAATATGACAGTCACATAAAACATTTTTAAGGATGAATAAAAATAATATCTGGTTTGGTGGAATATAAAATTTTATGTTCTTTCACTAATAAAAGTTATATGTAATTTCTATGAACTGTAAATAAAAGGTTTAAGAAACATGAATCTTGTACAGAATGCATAAAATATGACATCTGGTGTTGTGCTATATAAATGTTGCCCTGCAATAAATTCGTTGACATAAATGTACATGTATACAGTGAGTCATTATATTAAACTTCTTTGTTGTGAAATGTTTGTAAATGTTGTTTATGTACAATTTATTGAATAAATAAAGTTTAAAATACATTATTTGTTGCAGATGATTGTAAACTGACAATTTTTTATATTTATATTACAGTGGCAGCAGAACAGGCACTGGAAGAAGAGGAAGAAAAACAAGCTCATGCTGAATCTAAACGGAAACGAGAAGTAATTAAACATACTTGCCCTGATTTAAATAGGAAACTGTCCTTGATTTGTACTATTGCGGTTATTGATACAAAAATCCTTAAATTAGTTTTTATTATATGGTCAGACTGCCCTGTGTGTATGTAAATTAATTTAGTATGTTCAAATTGGCATGGCTTGAGACTGGAGCAATCTGTTATTGCCAATAATAAGCATTATAATGGTTTAACATTTGATACACAGAGTGACTGTATGCTTGACATATTTATGAATTAAGATGTTTTGACATCATTCAGGAAATATCTTGGTTATAATATACTGGTGACATAGACTAGACATTGTTGCTGCTAGCACTGTCGGGGTTAAGTCCATACTACTAGTCTTATTCTTGATCCTTAGGAAAGAATGCTAGGATCATAAAAAGGGTTTCAACATAAAAGTGTATTTATGCATATATAATGGTGTATTTATGCATGTATGTTTACTAAATCAACAATTTTTTTTAGTCAAAACAGGAAGAAAGAGGTTCCAGAATCAGTATCCAGCCAGCAGATGATGATGATGGTAAGTTATACATGTGTTGATAAATAAACTATTGTCCTATATTTTGGACTTTGTTGTGTTTTAAGTATTATTGTAGATACATAATTATATAGTTGTTTTTACTTGAGATATGTTAACAAAGACATACTCAGAGCTTTGGAATTGGGGGTCATTCCCCTTGATTCCTTTGGGGAAAAAATAGCAAAAATAACAGTAAATTTCAAAACGGGAAGAAAAAAAACGAAATTTGTTTTTATGGAAAACTACATGATTTAAAAGAATTTTCAAGAGGTGGGCAGTAGACCTTTAACAGTCCCTGCTATAGAATGGCATGTAAACCTGGATACTGATATGTGTTAACTTTGTAAGATTTCTGTTTCAGATCAAGACGATGGTTTTTCTGTCAAGCATATTGCCCATGCCCGTTATTTAAGGAATCATCGACTCATCAATGAAGTCCTAGGAGAGCTTGTTGTTCCAGACATAAGAACTGTGGTCACCACTGGTAGGATGGGAGTTCTCAAAAAACAAGTGCAATCTCTGACCATGCATCAGGTTAGTATTATGTTTTTCATAATTAACATTGACTAATTAAGCTTTTAATGTAAAAAGAGATAAAGCAAAGAACTGATAAAATGAATCCTTGATGTTGCTTTTTTTGGTGTTATGTAAGCATATTTGTTATAGCTCAATTTAAGCTTATTTAAAATACTTGCCAGTGTGATTCCTGGAACTAAAGGGTACTGGTGAAATATAAGGAAACATGGAAGTAACCCCAGTGGTGCTTAAACCCACAATCCCTTGGTTAAGAGGAAGTCACCTTAACCACAAGGTCATTCTTCTTATTTTTGGGGGAAGAGAAAACAGAGAGCAGATTAATCCGAAATGCTAAAATTTCTATCTGCAAATCTACTGTGATCTTGTCTTTGTCTTTAGATACAGGTGTGCTGGATATTGCACTTACTGACTTAATTTATATCTTTAATAATGTGCTATGTGTTAACTATGATGATCATGTATATATGGCTAAGAGGTTTATGATTTTGGCTGTGGTTCTTATATTGTTGAAAATTTGAAACATATATAAATGACTGGTTAGCTGTAGTCTAAGTTTTTGTTTCTTTCGTTCTAAATGGCTTATGCTATACTTGCCATGCACCTGTAAGTTGTAGATCTGGGTGTGACATTTTGTGTGTGACTTGACAACTGGTGGAGTTGCCAAGTGGTTAATGAGTTGGACCAGTAATATAGGGATTGATGCTTGTGCGGTTTCGAACCATACTGGTTCCTTCAGAGTGTGTAAAAAAGCTTATATGTTCCTACACAATCCAACAGAAAATAAATTCTGTATAAACTTATTTGTCTGAACTGTGCTGTGCTGAACCATGTAATTTGTGTTTGAAATGCTGGCAGTAACTTGCAATAAAAAATGGTTAAATGGTGGTCTAGAGTGCAGAATTTTGTATTTAAAAAATAATACAAAAATCTTGTAACCAACTTGCATTTAATTTAAAAAGAAAACGAGAAAAAATAAATAAGATCATTATATTTTATAGACAAAGTTAGAGGCAGAACTACAGCAGATTGAGGAAAAACATCAAGCAAAGAAGCGAAAGTTTACAGAGGGTAGTGAACAGTTTCATGATGAGTACAAGAAATTGTGCGAGAACAAACCACAGGTCACTGATGAAATGTTCCAGAACATGATTAGCAAAGCTAAAGAGGAGTTGAAACAAAAACAACAAGAAATGCTGGCTAAACAAGTTAGTAAATCAATTCATTAACAATTCATTGCAATATGACATAATTTATTTCATGCTAATAGTTTTGTGGTTAAATTGTTGTTGTAAAGATTGTTACAATACTTGAAACTTTCTCGCACCAGGATTTAAAACTGTGAAAAAAGATACCAGTGAAAATACGGAAAAAATGTTTCGCTGAAGTGAAAAATATTTTTTTACAGGAAAATAGGGAAAATGAAAATATGCATTTTATTTCATCAATATTCTGAGTATTTCATTTAGAAGTATATACTAAACATGTATTTCTATCTTTATTACGTTATATTGTTCTTGTAGGAAGAAGATAGGAAGAAACAGGCTCTGTTAGCAGAGGAACGACAGAAGTGTGATGCTGAAAGACAAAGAATGGAGGAAGAAGAGAAAGTAAGGAGAGAGACAGAAGAACAAATGAACAAACAGCACCAGGAAGCTGTACAACAGATGAATGCTGAACAGGTATAAATATATTTTCATCTTTGGCAAATTTAAACACAATTTAAAATTGAGAATTTTTCTAATCAACCTATAGCCTTCCAGTGATTTTTTTTCTGTATTTTACAGCCGAATATAGGCTGTTTCCCCTAGCTGAAAATAGGTATATTTTCCCCTTAAAAAGCTAATATTTTTCCCTTTAATACCCTGTGCACTTCTTCACTTAACACCATCTGACTTATTATATCAACCAGACCACAGAAAGCTGTCCCTTTAGCCTCTGCTATGTACCATGGGTGTTAAATTTAATTGAAATTGAAAATTTTGTAAAATATGTGGGTAAATTCCATTCTCAGTTGTTGGAATTTGATTTTCCCCTTTTCTAATTTATTGCACTATTTTTTACCCTTCAGGAAGCCACAGGTTGTTTTGAAAATCGGAAAAAAAATCACTGCCTTCTAAATTTTCTCTCCTTTATCATGCTAAATATCTTGAATGGTTATGTCCAGATTGAAATCTGGATAAAATCATTAATCATTTTCGGGAAAGTTTTTAAAATATATACTCACTGCCTCCGTGGTTGAGGGGTTTGAGTCGATGACTTCTAATCCAGTTACCTCTCTGGCGTGGGTTCGATCCCCGGGAGATGCTTTGGTAGTTTAGCGCAGTGGAAGGTAGTCTAGTACTTGTGTAACTCTCCAGGAACGATGGTTAGGATACTACCCGCATATATGACTGAAATACTGTTTGGAAAAGGCGTTAAATGAAACAAACAAACAATTAAAATATATACTGATGAATAAAAAACAGTGCTGACCATGATCAGATGGCAGAGATGTGCTTGTGATATTGGTTAGCTCTAGTTTAATGGGTAGAATTTGTTGTACTTTGTAGACTAAATGTTAATAATGGCCTTGTGTTGCTTTTAATTTTAAACAGTTCATTGATAATTACGGGTAAGTACAAATATTCAATAGAAGTGATTCTAATTAGAGGGCGTATCAAGATCACCGCTGATGATTAGAACATTTTATAAGTAAACTTGGAACATCTGAACATAATTGATATTTAAATGTAAACATGATTCCTTATTTTGATCAGTTTAAAATTGTATATTATGTATATATAACCTTCATAAAATGAAGTGTTTTATACATAAAGGATATTGAATGAGTGTAGGTTTAATACTAAATTAATTGAACAAGTTGAATAAAATAATATGCGAGCCTCTGGCAAGTTCAAAAAATTTAGTATTGAATCTATACAAATATAATATTCTTTTTATCACATATTCAAAATAACAACAGTTAACTGTTAAAAGAACCATTTTTCATTAATGCACTTAGAGTGTAATGCTAACATTAGCGAGCTTTAATACTGTTTTTGTATATGTAACACAAATGATGTCATGTCAAAGTGTTATTGCACTTGTGTTATATTGATTTTATAAAATGGCTTTATTACACTCCAGCTCCATTGTTTAGGTGATAAATGTATATATTTGCAGGGTATTCAGGAACCAGTTAATCCAATGAATGGAGAGGGTGAAGCGTTGAAACAAAATGGTGAATCAAACATGAATGGTGGACCCAGAAATGATGTAAATATTGTATTAAAAGCATATAAATGTGGGACAAAAATGCGAATTTATTTATTGTATTTCTTTTAATACTTTAAGTGAGTTTACTTTTTAAAACTTTTACATGAATGGGAATGAGAATTTTTCATGGCAGAATATTTGAAGTAAATCTTTTTAAATGCAGAGAAGTAGAATTCCTAAAGAAAGCCCAAAACAACAAAATTGAAAATGCTGCTGGCTAGGTTTGATTAAGCCAGTTTATGGACGGTATTGGAAAGTGTAAGTTACTGTCCACAAAATAAAATAGATACAGATTTGGTGTAAAAACCAAATTAATTTTTTTTCAACAAATCTGCTCTTGGATCATGCATATATCACATATAAACAATACAGTAACAATTTAATTTCCTATAAAAATATGGTGATATTAAGTTGGTTGACATTTGTATAATCTAGGGACCAGATACGACTACAACTGGAGAAGCAGAAGATGATGAAGATGATGACAGTGTTGGTACACAGGAATATGATGATCTAGACGGTATACAGAGGGCAGAGAATATAACACAGTCTGAGGACATGGAAGCCATGAACAGGTACTGTCTTTATATGTGCTTAGGATGACGTCATTTCACCGTTGTTATTTAAGTTGTAAGTTTATACGCTATTTTAAGAAAATAAATATGGATGAAATGACTTTAATTTCCACGAACATATATCATATTGAGGTAAACCATTTTAAAATAAGCCTCTTTACCGCCAAATGGGCGGGTCCCCTTGGGACGGATATTCCGGTCCGAACCGCAACATATGACAGATATTATTAGTCTGTTTTGTAACCTTTGATGATAGTGATATATTTATGTGTACAGTTTTTATTGGTTTTAATCTTTTTATGCTACTAAATTTATTTCTTGTCCTGCATTAAAAAGAGAAACTCAGGAATTGATAATGTGTGGATTTTCCCGACTGATATGGGGGTACAAACTTTTGCAGTTATAACTTCATGGTGTTGCACATGATGGAAATAAATAGAACAGGTTGATAATTCTGTTATAAATGGTAATACACCATGAATCTGTGGTTGTTAAAAGTTTGTTCATACTGGTGGATAAACTGGGAAAAATTCACATTTGTCAAATCCTAGGTAACATCTGTTTGGAACTGTCCATATACAATTTAAGGTTTTTCAATACCAAATACATGTACTGAATCTGAGTTATTAACAATATAGGGTCTGGTGTGACTTCACACTTGCTTCTAGTCACACATTCAATAGATTGCCCTCTTAGGGAGAACATCAGATTAGAAATCTAGGGGTCACTTGTTTGATACTTGGGCAATCTGAAATTTCTCTGTGACAATTTACATAGATCTGACATATAATCTGGCGGTCATTTGTCACTCAGAGCTGATTGAGAAATCATGTAGGATTAGAAACGGGTCAATTGTGAAGACATCAATTGTGAAGACATTTATGATTATTGTTAGTTTTACAATAATGCTGGGTAGGTTGATTCACCACTGAGAGATATAATTACCAAAAAATGTGTTAACATGGCCTTAAGAACCAGAAAAACGTATACAATACAGTATATATATTACATTTTCATTAGAGGTTAAAAAAACGGATGTCAGAAGTTTGAATGTTTTAATGGATGAAATGAATGCTGATGTAAAATAGGACAAAATATTTTACCACCTAGGTTTGATTGCCCAATTAACTAGTTACCAATATATCTGATTTGTAAGTGAAATGTTTCCAGCAAATTTTGTTTGTTTGCATTGTTAGTAGTTACATTATCAATCCTATGTAGTTATACATGATAATAATGATTTAAATTGACAGATCTGAAGAGAGTATGGAAGCTGAAGAATCGTCTTCCCCCAGTGTTAACAGGCGAGGTAAGATACAATTCCAACCATATATTTTGTTTATCAATATTTGTACTGTAGTTTCACCAATTATAATGACACACATCAAATATCTTATACTAAATATTTCTTCACTTTGTCATTGAGCTCAGTTTGATAGTCTTAATGTATTTATTTCATTGTTTTTGATAAACCCCTATATACACTGAGCTCTTTGATTGAGTGTTCATTGTTGTAAGACTTTAAACTCTATGGTTCCCACTACTTTATGTATATCTTTAGCCAGTTTACAAAAGGTGGGGGTAGTTCTTTCCATGAATTTGCACTGTAATCATACAGGTTGGAGACACTTGGGTCATTGGATCTGCTTCTACCATTGAAGCTTAAAATTGTCTATTTTAGATTGATATTTATGACTCCTTACTGAAAACAGCTTAAAGTAGTGTGATGATAAATGATTTAGTCTTTCCAGGTTAAAACATTTATTTTTAAATACAAAATATAAGAGATCAATAGTCAATATGAAAAATTATGCATGTAGAGAAAGATTAATAAAAAACAAGCTACTACTAACATATATATGTAAATCTTGGGCTTATGCTTGCTTGTTGGCAAGTTGGCACCTATCATCGTAGAATAAGTTCACCCTTTTCCTGCTGTAGTTGGAATAGTTTTGCCTTTACCACCAGTTCAGAGCTGAACCATTCCAGTCTGCTTTTGGGGGGACAGTTTGACCTAGGTCTATAATATTTTTATCTCAAGTTGTATATTTTGTTGTTTAAATCCCTTAATTTTTGAAATGGACTGTTCCAAATATAAATAGCAGGGTCATTCCATTTACAAAATTCAGCAGGATAAGGGTTAAACCAATGATATATTGAAACTATTTGTTGTCACATGTAATCTCTCATCATTGTGATTAATTCTTGTGCTCTTTTATTCTAACATGATCTTATTAATATGTGTGTGTGTCATTAAACAATGAAAAAACAGACATTGTATATGGTATCCACTTAATAATGGTGGCTTATAGTAGATTGCATTTCACCTGAATGAATTCTAGGCAGGTCAGAATAATATAGTAAAATGATTAACTGGTGTTTGTTATTGGATTAATTTGGTTTTAAGTTTATGGGGCTTGATGGAAAAAAAGATCAAACCAAATTTTGTTATATATATGCTTGCAATAAAGCTTAGAACCATTGTATATCCAATGATAAACACCAGGTGACTCATTTATGACTTCTTACTCGATCATGACTAGATATTAACTCCATCGTGACTAGATATTTTAACACTTTTAGTGTGATATAACAGTACCATCTATTTACACACATCTTTCTGTTTGCTGTGATAATAACAGGATATTCCTCTAGCTTTTACTGATGTGTGAGTACCTCTGTGTTTAGTATAGGACAACAGTAATAGACCACACTGACGGTGTATATAAATCATTACTAAATTGGAAAATTTTGAAATACTTAAAAGCCTATTTCACACAGATGTGTGCTTGATATATTATCAGTTTCATACATTTCAAGATGCCAACAAATGAAAAAAAGGGAATGTAAAGGGTTTTTTTATAGAATAAAATGAAATATTTAGTGCTTCAGTGAAGGCAAAGTGAAATATATCAACGTTGGTACTCTGGCATGTTATCTTTGCCTTTTCTTTAAAATTGGAATTGCCTAAGTTAGACCATTACAAAACTTGGCCACAGTTGATATTTAACTTTGAAAATTGCCATGCCTTTGTAGATTTATGAAGTAAAAAGGTACAGCAAAATAACATCATGTCAGTATGGTCTTAAAAACAATCATTTTTGTGTGTTTTTTGTGTGTGTTTTAAGTCTGTGGTGTTACAAAGTTGCTTGGTTATGTTGAGTTTTATTTTGTTCTTCAAGATTTTTTAATGAGGTTAACGCTTACAGTGGGTATGAATAAGTATTAAGATATGATTGTTCCTATTTAATGACAGAAAGTTATGAAGTATTTTAGACTGTAGAGAAGTTAAAAAAAAAAAATTTTTTTTAGCTCCTTTGGTTTTTCTTGCAAGTGGCATGCTACAAGCATTGTGAACACAATATTGCATGTGTTATGCTTCTTCTAAAATTTGAATGTTTTTTTAATATTTTCTACAACTTGTAAGCACTTCAAACATTTTTTGGTAATGCATGAAGTTATGAATTAAAATAGGATAATTGGTGTCCTATCAGGATGATTAATGTCATATCAAATCACTTTAGGCACTTTATAAGCATTGTTGCTTTCCTCCCCAGCATACACCACCTCTTGTTAATGATTTTATTCTCCTAAATTGGGAATTCTAATTTAAACCTGGTTCATTATGTATTCTGATATCCGTGTAAGGACCTTGTTGCTTCAGTGACAAAGCAGTAGATAAGCTTTTAAAATTGGTAATGGTACTTTGTGGACAAATTCAGTAAAGATTTATGATTATGTTTTCATTTCATCGTTCTTCTTTATGGATATTGGTTAAAACTGCACATTCAGATTCAGATTTTCAGATTTTTGTGTGTAAATAAATATGTATATTTGTGTATATTATGACCAAGAACCTTTGTATCAGGACTGAAGATGAGAAGTTTATTTCAGAGAATATAATTATGCTCACATTTTCTAATTGCTTATTTGGACTGTGTTTCAGTGAAGGATGATGGCCGTCCTAGGCCATTCAAATGTGACAGCTGTGACAAGGCATTCAAGCTTAAACACCACCTGTTGGAGCACTCCAGGCTCCATAGTGGCGAACGGCCTTATGAATGCACAAGCTGTGGTAAAAAGTTCCGCCACTCTGGCTCTTATAGCCAGCATGTTAACAACCGGAGCAAATTTTGCCGTGTTGAGGGAGCGATGGGCTCGTGCATGCCGGTGTCTCCCACTGCTGGGAGCCCGGGGTCTGCATCTGGTCCGGATGGGCTGTCGCCAAAGTCGGCCCAACGGTCTAAATCTAAATTGGCAGCTGGAAGGAAAACAAAAGAATGTAAGGCACTGTAATGTAGCCACATAAGCACGCTCGCAAGGAGAGTGGATTTAGTTACTGTTTATAAAAAAGCATGGTAGAAAGGTTATGTGAATATATTCAGCTTACATTTGCATTTACCATGTTACCCATTTTTTAAATTCAAAACAAAACAAAAATTATTATTAATGAAATAACATTTCTGTTTCATTAACAGATTATTTTGTTTTAGCATTCTGCTCAGTTGGAAAGCAGTGAAATCAGCTAATCAACAAAATACAGCATGTCATTTTTTAGTTGCTGTTTCATTTCTAACACATTTATGTTTGTATTTATGCTAACATTTCTTTCTACACCCTATCATGGGCAGACCTGTCTTCAAGATCATCTTGTTGCTTAGATGTTATACTTTGTGCTCCTGTATCAGTGTAAACAATATCATACCACACACCTATATAAGGATATTTAAAAAAATAATGTGCAAATCTCTTTATAATAAAATATTAAGTGTACCAATGTCAATTTAGCTTGTGTTCATTTTGGTAAGAAACTGAAAATACAAAAGAAATTGAAAACAAAATTGTACTTCTTAATGAATGTATTTGACTGAAATTGAAAAAGTTATTAAACAAAATCGTTTGCTTAAAGAAAAATCTTACAGAAGTCTCAACTGTCTTAGCATTTTAATCTTTATCAGTGAAAATGCAGTAGTTTTACTATGCCCTCATTGTTCAGATTTGACTGGAATAACTGTTAATATTGTAAGGTATTTCAACATCAAAGTACTAAATTAAGAAGAAACTTCATGAAAGTGCTGGCTTTCCTGGCTCTATACAGGCAGTGTGTGTAAGACACTCTAGAAGTGATATGAGGGTTTTAAAGGAGCAAATAACAAATTTACCTATTAAGTTTTACCTTTGTTGTCCAAGTGCTAGGTTCTAGGTGAAGGAGTTTATTTTGTGTGTGTTTTTTTTTGATAGAGCTATTCATAGTGTTTTTCTTTTCATTTTCTTATGTTTTTTGACATACTGCTGTTCTTCAAAGAAGAGGTGGCATATTGTTTTACAGATCTCATTCTGTCTGTCTGCAAAATGATTTATCAGTATACATGTGGCTTCAATTCAAAAAGTGCCGGTATGATGTCCATTAATTTAAAAAAAAAATTATTGAGTATTTGATTATATTAAATAGAAAAGAAAAATTAATATGAATTTGAATTGATTTCTTGGTTTACAAATCAATGAGTAATGGAAAATATTAAAAGTCTGCAGACACTTTTCGCTATTTTTATAAAAGAATAAGAAGAAAAATTCTATCGAAGTAAGATTATATTTAACATATTTAGCCAGTTTTAATGGCTCTCATATTCTCTTTTTCTCCCTTACTTACTCTGCAATCATTGTTCTTCATATCATTACCAAGGTTTGCCTATGGTAGTGGTTTGTCTTTAACCTCTCCTTGCAGTGCAAAACATTAACCTTGTTGCCTAGCAACATATTAATTCATAGAATAGGAGCCTGGGGTTGTTAAGCAACATAGGTTGTCAGGGGTTACTGCATGAATAGAATTTTTTTTGTTTTTTTTGTTTGTTTTGTTTTATTCTTTAGTTACTATTTTATCAAATGTTCATAGGTTATATACCTTGTAATCATTATTCTTTTGGTTGAGGGAGTTTGCATTTGGATTCCTTTGAATATGATTTGCAGTGCAATTTTCAGTTCACATTTAGTTCTTAGTTTAAATGGTCTATTAGATATTAGAAATCTTTGGTCTTCGACAATTTTTTTTAGTTTTCATCAGTAATACCTGACAATTTTCTCTCTGATATATTACATGTATATACCTGTATAAATACATTTAAAACAGCAAATATCATTTAAAATTGCAAATATATGTTTCTTACACAAACAGGATATATGGTATATTACAAGTCAATGCCAGGTGTAGAATTGAATTGCAGAGTTAACTTAATATATGTAGACATTAGATGCATGTTTATTAAAAATACTGTTACTAGAAAATATTTTTCCCTACCTGAAAAATAACAACAATGGCATAATTGTGTTTGAAATAAAAAAAAAATATTAATTTGATTTTAAAGAAAAAAAATTGATGACACCTTATAATTATAATAATGAAGAATTGTTAATGAAGATTCAGTTTTAATCAGTTGGTTTTGATTGTTACACAATCCCGAAGTATAGATTAAGAATAGGTTTAAGATTTCATATAAATACAAATGTAGGCATTAGGAATCAACTAAGACTAAATTAATATATTTCAGTATGTTTTGTGTTTTTCGAGTCGTTCTAACATCTCTTTTTCATATGTTACTGTTTTGTTTATTGCAGTACTTTCAGCAAGATCAACTTATCTATACTGAGTTGGGCATTTTTTACCTATAAAACAGGTGATATTGGCCAAAGCTTGGTCACTGCATGATGATTTCTTTTAGAGTTTGAATTTTTATTATTGTTTGTTAAACTTTTTCATTGATTTTGTTAAAACCCCTCCGTAAGAAAACCATTAACATATTTTTACTTTAGATGTTTTTATCCCCTCTTGTGTGTGTTACTATGGGATGTAGTTAATACATGCATTTATTTTGTTTGCTTGCAAGAAATTATTCAGAATAGTTAGGAAATTAAGTTTCTCGCTTCAAAGAAACTGTGTATAGAAAGATTTTGCTGCAAGATGTGCTGTAGTGAACAAAACAGAACAGATTGGTGTGAACTAATTTTATGTTTTTTTCCATGACATGTTGTATTTCTGTTTATTTAGTTATTTTATTTGACAAAGGCTAAGAAAAAGGCTAAAATATTTACCCTGATTCCTTCAAATACTGAGTTTTTACATTTACATTTTACATTACTTTCGAAAGAAACAACCTGAATACCCCTGTGCTACAGAATGGTGTTAATTTTTAAGCTGAAATTTTGCGCTTTTCAATTGGGCAATGAATGCACAATTGCTTTTAAGATGAAGAAACAAGAACAAAAATATGATTTAGTTTTCATATACACACATTATAAATTTGATATATGAAAACATGAACTTTGCCTAAGACTCCATTCTTTAGTTTTGATTCCAGCTAATAGATTTGTGCCCCATCATGATACATAAAAACTTGCTTTTACGGAAACACCAGCAAAACAGTATTAAAAAAATTAGTAAAAGTCTGTGTGTATGTGTGTATTATTTTTGATAGCACTATCTTGAATGAAGCTTATTATTATTGTAAGTTTGGATGATGATTAGAAACGTTATGAAACAAAAATATAACAGTAGCTCTTCTTTGTGGTGTAATTACAAACCTGATCAAAAATAATGCACCACAACGGCAGGCTTAAGCAGTCGAGATGGCTACAAGATTTTTTCTTACAATTACTTCTGAGAAATTGTTCCCTTCTATCCCACTGCTACTAATTCAAAGTGTTTTTATTTAGCTAATTGCAGAAAGAATGGAGATGGAAATGGCCTAGCAGTGTCACTCTGATGAAATGTGCTCTTTTTATAGCAGTATTTTAAAATGATAAAGCTGGATTTGTTTTGTGGAATGTGAATTGAAAATTGCATTGTTTATCATTTATCTTGCATCTATAATATTGTTTATAAAAAACATTCACAAGTTGTTTATTTGTTCAACTTGCATGCATGCATGCTTAAAAAAATTTAATTATAGAATTCTAAATATTTTCTTTTGGGAAATGTTTCAAAATAAGAAAACGGCTATTGTTATGTTTTTTAAGTAGATTTTTTTATCACAGCATCTTGATTTTCTTTTAAATATTATACAAAATATATAAATTGTATTCAGATTGCATCCATTTTTTCCATATAATGCATTGGATCAGCTTTTTCTCCAAGCTTCTATTTAGATACTGAATGCAAAGAATATTTAAACAATTTTTTCGCACCTTTCTTACATATAAATTTCTATAATAACTTGCCTTTTTTACACATATGCATAGCATTTTCCGCGCGTAATTGAAATAAGTAAAAAAGATTCTATTGTCCAAAATTGATTTCAATTTTCTCTTACAGTTGGTGAGACTGACGAGACTGCCGAGCCTCCTGCATTAACAAAGCTAAATACAGTCGTAGAGTCATCATCTAGTAACGGTACTGTGAACGCTGACCCTCCTCCAAGTAACGGGACAGCAACGGAAACCAAGCCGGCAGAATCTGTAGAACCTCAACCTGCTATAGAAAATGAATAAATAATAGATAATGGAATGTTTAATGTGTTCACTTGTATATAGGAATCATAAAATTTACTTTTGTTTTCATTAGAGGGAAATTGTGCCAGAATACTCCGGTTAAATGGTAGATATTCCTCAGCATTTGTTGTATAGGTGAAAATTGTTGTTTCAGTACTAAGTTCAGAAAAATTGTACTTTGATTGTGAAGTAGTGTCGTACTTTGATTGATTGTTTAGTAGTGGCATGGTTTTATTATCATAATTATATTAGTTTAATAGATTGGAAAACATGATTTCGTAAATTGCTTCAACCGTGATTCTCTTAATATGAATTAAATTTTGTGTCTTGAATTGAATATTAAAGATGACTTATTCATTGTTAATAAAACTTAAGAGAATTAGTTTTTAGTTGCGTTGCTTGTGAATTCGAATAGACAAACTTTCATTGATGTAAAGATACTTAATCTAACGGTTAATTGTATTACAGTAATGTTCAGTTGATAGAAATTTATTGAAAATAACTATGGTTGAGTTGTCTATCCAGTGCATTCTTTCCTACCCCATAGTTTATACGTATAAGTGTGTTATGTGATGTAAAAGTTTTAAGTGTACATGTATATGAGATGTTGTTTATGGAACCAGTTTGCATTTAGTTATTTTTGGGGATGATCGTGTATCAGGTATTTTAGATGTAGCGTGATTGAAGATATGTTTTGTATGAATAGCAATGTTACAGGTCTAGCAATTAACTGCATTATAATGAATCTGGTTGCAAACAATGTAGTTGGAATATCTGAATATTCTGTATTTCTGTGTGGTCAATTTTGTACCAAAAAATAAAGAAATAAATTCGAAACTGTTTTTTTTTCTCCTTTATTTGTTTGTTGTATTCAGTTGAAAGTATATCAGAAGTGTATAAGGCTATATTTCTGCTTACAAATTATTATTTGAATTTCGATAAATGATACTAAAAGACCTGTATATTTTTATGCCCCCACAAAGTGGGGAGCATATAGCGTTGCACTTGGCCGTACGTCTGTCCGTACGTACGTGTGACCGTCCGTACGTCTGTCCGTACGTCCCGAAATCTTGTGAACGCAACTCTTAAACCGGATGGCAGATTTTGCTTAAACATTCAGGGATGAACAACCTTAATGTGTAGATGGTAGTAAAGGAAGGAATTTTCGCTGCGACCAAATTTAATAGAATTATGGCTCTTTGTTGATTTTTTCACTATATACTATGTAGAAATTTTGTGAACGCAACTCCTGTTAAACCGGATGGCAGATTTTGCTTAAACTTCCAGGGATGAACAACCTTAATGTGTAGATGGTAGTAAAGGAAGGAATTTTTGCTGCGACCAAATTTAACAGAATTATGGCCCTTTGTTGATTTTTTCACTATATACTACATAGAAATTTTGTGATTGCAACTCCTCTTAAACCGGATGGCAGATTTTGCCTAAACTTCCAGGGATGAACAACCTTTATGTGTAGATGGAAGTAAAGGAAGGAATTTTTGCTGCGACCAAATTTAACAGAATTATGGCCCTTTGTTGATTTTTTCACTATATACCATATAGAAATTTTGTGAACGCAACTCCTCTTACACCTGTGCACATTTGCACAGTGGGGGCATCCGTGTCCTTTGGACACAGTTCTAGTTTTATATGTCATTGAGATTAAGTGACACATGTACGAAATCAATGCTAAACGGTTAAAACCCAACTAATGCCCCCAAAATATTTTGTTTCGGAACATTTTGTTCTATTTATTTATGTTAAGCAACAGAGACATTCTATGTTGTATGTCTTTTGAGAATCGACCATAAGGTTATTAAAACATCATAATTTTACCATTTATAAATGTTATGAAATATTTTATTAGATACAGCATTTTCCCCTTAGAATTACGCAGGAACGTTGTGTTTAAGTAGTATTTATTGGTTGCTCCTTAGAGACTCGTACAGAATGCAGGATATTTAGTTCACCACAGTAGTTCAATCCGAGAGTTGACTACATGTATTTGAATTCCTGGCAAAAAGTAGTCGAGTGGTTCAGGTCGTCGTAATCCTGCCAAGGATTTTGGAATCTTTGATATTAGGAATCTATTCCGGCAGGTTTGATTGCAGGTGATAGTTCTGTTAATACAAACGTTTCTCATTCTTAAATTAGATAATTCTCGACTGTTTCGAGCAAACTCGCGCTCATATTTTGCATCTGGAATTGCTTGAAATGAAAACATGATTCTTAACACATCTATATGGTCCTTCTAGGATGTCTGATAAATGTCTTCTTAGATTAGTTAAGGGCTTAAAAATCGGTTGACCAGGATTTTGGTTTTAGGCTGATTATCCATTTGATACAGTGTCGTCAACAGATGAAGCTGTTGGAAACTTCCGAGTCTGATTATCGTGTATAAAACTATATATCCCTCGTTATGCCTTCATTTGCGCAACTGGAGTCCTTTTGTAATGACACTAATTTGGTCCGTTTAGCGTTACTCTAATTTGATATTATCTTAAAACATTACAGCAAGTCATTAATACTGGCAATCGTTTAGCATGTGACAATTGATAGATCCTTACTCTGATTTTTTGTTTGAATAACAATGGATTTAACGAGAAACATTGGCGGATATATTGTGGTAAAATAATTATTGTAAGCTACTTGTCTGATAATAGGAATTTGACAAATAAGGGTCATGAAGGGATCTTTGCTAATCCGCCACATCAGACATATAGAGTCGTTGTAGTAATAATTCTTTTTCTCCACAATTTCCATATTTTAAGCAACACATTCCAATGTTTCTATTATATTTATGAAAGATAAGCATATACTTATTTTTTATAGTTTTGTTATATATCATTGTTTTCAAGTTGAAGGCTCGTCTCATGACCCTGTTCTAGCCTGAAATAATGCACGCAGGAACACCTTAAACCTTTTGATTGATTGATTGATTACCCAATTTGATTTAGATTGAATGATTTCAATATTCGCAATGGATTATTATGGACTGAATTGTGAAGAAACGACACAAATGTCCTTTAAGCAAGAAGACTTACATTGTTCTAGCATTTGTGTGTGCGGAAAATCACTTAAATGATTGTATTTGTAAATAATTGCATCAACAAACAAGTAAACAATTCATTTATTTTTCGCACATATAACATGGTACGAAAACACTAGCACACATAACAACAACCTAGTATAATTTATGCACCATTCTACAATCGAACGCTGTTTCCACTCGACAATCGAACATTGTCTATTTTAAAATATGATAACATTTCTGAGCACATCACATTTGATATTCAGTTTCTTCCATGACCTTTTGATATTGAATGTTCTATTATGTATTCAACCGGTTACATTAATTAATTAATTAATATTAAGTCAATATCGTACTGCGCTTAGCTGAAATATGTTTTATTAAAACAGCACGATGTACTGTTACTTTATCATACAGCCAAGTTTGCAAATGTCCGCCTAAAAGACGATGGCTATTGGATGTTATTTCATCGCTTCAAGCTGTAAAAATACAGTAACCTGTTTAGTGTTGGTGATGTCAGTTACTTAAAAACATTTTCAATTTTGAATCTTCAGCATTATCCAACTTTTCGAAGAGTATCCCTCGTACACATATTGTTTTACGACTAATAACGATTATAAATAAATATCTACACACTTTAAACAATTACTCGTGATGGTAATTATATCACACTATAAGATATTGTTGCAAACACTGAAAATTACTAAGCGCTGGTGTATTAAAATAAGCACTTAAAGTATAATTTATTTCATTAACTAATATTTGTATCTAATGTATGCATTTATGTAAGGAATGACCTATGTCTAATACATTATTTGTATACATGTAATAAAATTAGTATTTTTCTCACGCTCACAAATTCCACAGGCTGCTCCAAACATGCTGTAATACTCACTGATGACGACGAAACTTTGTTCAGGATATGTTAGGTCATTTGTACGTATGATTAAATCTTTAGATGAATATAAGATTGCTTTTACGTTACATTGCACATTGCTTAATATTCAACATGATACCATGTTTAGGGTAGCCCGTGAAACACGTGACACAAGATCAATGTTTTCTCTAGGGGCTGCTTTGGACCATTATTTTAAGATTGATCACGAGATGGACGTTGCATTCGCGACGTTATATCAGGTAGTTGTTCAAATACTATCTTCTCTCTTGGGTTTGGATCAATCTGCAAATATATGATAAAATCTAATCAATTATAAAATTTCATTAGTAATGTTGGCTGAAAGCATTATATTTAACATAGAACAAAGATTGTCTGCTGGATTGCTATATACACTGTTATTTTCACAACTTTACCATAAAGCGCTTAGATACAAAGTCTGGGAAAGTAGAGATACCCCGAGATCAATGAAAACTTAAATAAGAAAGTGGGTAGAAAGAGATCGTTGGAAGTGAACTGCAATGTGTCTAATGCAGTAACTTAAAACAAAAACATTGAGAGTACTGAAAACATAAATTGGTGATAACTGCAGACCTCGACTGAAAAAAGAAAACAAAAAGTTACCTTCGCCGAGACACCATTGACGATTAACTAGTTTTACAACTTGATAATTGTACGGTTAATTTGTAAGAACGAAATGAAAGAATAAATTTAATTAAGGGAACGATAGTTTGATACTCACGTCTTGGCCACTTTCGGATGAACGTTTCTTGCTGTGACGCCTGTGACCGCGTTCATCTCTATCACCATGTCGTCTGTGCTCGCCTCGTGCGTCATCTCCATGTCGTCTGCTCTCTCTTTGCTCTCTGTATCCACCATAATCTTCACGTTCTCTCATTCCTTCTATGTCACCACTCTGTCTTCTGCGTCTTTCTTTTCTCTCTTTTGGCTCACCATGTCCAACACTATGTCGACGAGGAGACTCGCTATCCGTGCGTCGGCTGCGATATTCAGTTTCTTCCTCCATACGTGCATAACCGTCGGTCTCGTCAACACGACGATCTTGTTGTACATCAGCAACAACGTTTGGAGATGGTCGTACTTCATTATTGACAGACTGGCGCTGTTCGCTTCGAACTTGTGGGTCTCGGCGAGAGTATTGATTATAGGACTGTTCTGCTTCGCTCCAAGGTTTAGCACTTGACCCGTAGTCAGTTTGTCCATAGTTGTTTCCTTTTTGAGAATATTCAGATGCTCTTGGATTAAAATCATCATCTTTACCAGTTGTTTGGGCTGTTTGATACGGCGTCTCTGTTACAAAAGAAAATATAAAAATATAACATAGAAACATAGGCACGATTTTTTAAATTAAGAAACCTTGATAAAAAGATTTTTTAATCTTTATACAGCAAAAATTTTGATATTGGAAAATACTACCTAAGAACATCTTACCTTTTCTAAGATTTGTTCCTAGAGTTGTACCATAACTTGTGACAGGTTCTGAAAATACAAAAGCAAATAAATGCTAGTAATAAATAAAACGTACTTCTCTTGAAACTTGTAAGTTATAACATATTTTTGCGGCAGTCATTCCCCTGAACACTACCACAACATTGACGGAACTGTAAGAAATACTAAAAAGGTGATACACAATTTCTTGTTACTTCTATGTGGTTAACGCATCGGACAAGTAATCTAATGATTGCATAGGTTCACAACTCGTGAGAGCCAAGTCGTTGTTTCCTTGAGCAAGAAACTTTACACTTATTGCTCAGTACTGGTTGGTTCCAAGAATGGATTCGAAAGTGTGTCTTTAAGCTCCTAACTTCCAACACAATCGAACTAAAATAAATTCGGTATAAACCAAACAATTTCTTAAAAAGATTTGAGAACCATTGATTCGGTAAAATACATATATTCCTCACCATCGGCTTGTTTAAGTTTACTGCTTGACAAATCGCGCACCAAACCAGATGGTACACCATGTGGATCAAATGTCATTTGTTGATCCTCTGCCAGTGTTTCATGCGGCACATGGCTTTCCATTTGAATTCCTTGACGTTTTAACCACCAGTTTACTCCAAAAAATCCAATAAGAACAAATATACAAGCAATACCATAGGCTAGGAATGTATTTTTGCTGCCTGAAATTAACAACGGAAAATAGTTGCCTCTCTTGCCAAAACTGACAGCCATTTTGTTGGTCAATATTCTACATAATATCATTGATAAAGTATGAAAAAAAATCAATAAAAACAGCTGATTTAGGTGAATTTTCTAATTATTTTATACATATGAAGGACTATATTTCTATAGCACCAATATGTTAATGTGATTTTATAATTATGAGAGATTTTTTATCATAAGCATATTATATATTTGTAATAGACCTAAAAATGGCGACCAGGGGAGGTAATTATTGCTATGTGTAAATATGTGTAAAACATCTGTAGGAGACAGCTCAAAATGTAATTTGTAAATTGTACAAATTCGGCGCTCAAAAGACAAAAACGAATATATTGATTCAATACAATGTATATGTACCCTAGGAATGTATTTTTTAGATATGCTGTACTATTTATGTAAATGTTTAAACTATTATTAGCACATTAATTAAGAGAGTATTTAGAATAAAATGAGTAAAAACATCTAGAAAAAGTGGTCACATGTAACTGATATAACAACAAAAAACAATATGAGTTGAAAACTTTAACTCGAAAAGGATTCTAAAACTTCAACTTAATCAGAAGCTCGAAGTAAAACGTACCAAAGCTGTACACAAGAATACCACCAAACACTGCCCCACATCCACGACCTAATCCGTGGTGAATGCCTTGAAGTATTCCTTGAGCCGAGGAGCGAAGTCCGGGTGGTATAGCCGTCATTACATACGAGCACGTAGTTGCCCATACTGCGGCATGCGTTAAACCTGAAAATGAACAAAAACTAAATACTATGTACAAAAAACGTACATTTTACAATGTATGCTGCGATGCTGAACTAGAATCGAAGAAATATTTCACATTTTCCTGGTCAATACATGTTATAAGGACACATTTGACTGATTGGATATTTCCCCCATGTTTGTCAGCATGCGTTTTGACAATCTAATAATTGAGCGAAAACGCAATCTATCAAAATGCTACTAGACTTCTCTCATGCGGAATTGATGGATTTTAAGCTACATAAATGCCTCATGTCCAAACAGACACGGAGATCTTTCTTTGAAAACAAGTTAATGACACAAAAGGATTTAAGAAAACCAAACAAACTTGTAGAGACATTTGTCATTGTAAAATAAAATGGTATTGCAAGAAAAGTAAGAAAAAGTAATATAATTCTCAGAGGTGCAGAAACGAATCAATCTCAGTTTATTGAACATATTGAAACAAAAAGGACCAAAATGACACCTACATAATTCTTTGACGGGTCTAGCTTCTATGACAATCATTTAATGATTAATAAGCGGAATTCGAATTTACGTACAAAACTACATTTATGTATTCTATATCAATTACCTAAGTCTTTCTCGATAATAGATACATAATCATTATCATCAGCAATAATATAACGTTTCATTAATCGAGTATCAGATTATAAATGTTTATAGTTGCTTAAATATCGTATTCTTTTATATTGCTCTCCCTACGTCTCACGAGGCAACTCAAACAAACCAATTCTACAAGTCTAAATGTTTGCTAATTGATATTGTTATTTGTCATTGTTCGCAGGGAATCTATACTTTTTCATAAATTTAGTACTTTCATTTATACACAAGGTCTAACTCATTTACGCACGAGTCCGATGTAATGTCAATATTGACATACAACGCCAGTATACTTGTACCTCCAAACACGAATCATAAAATTACAATACCTAAAGCAATGTAATAAACATCTCAAACATAAAATGTAAAATGTTTAAAATGCATTTGTTTTCATATCTTCTTATTATGTCGAATGAGTTAAACTTTGTGTTCTCTGGTCAGTTAGTATCATTGCAATTAATCATTGAAGAATACACTCTCTAAGCAGGTGCCTGGTGCCTTAAATAAAATTGTCTGAAAATTGTCTGTAAGGGAAGGTCTGTAGTGCAATTTATAATGATGTTTCTAATAGTAAATATCAAACATTATAATAAACCACGAAAGAATAACGGAAAACTATAAGCTATGTCCGATATCACAAATATTTAAATAGCAAATAAAAACTGTTCTAGAACAAAACATTATTATTCATCATATAAATGTTCATAATTAAACACTTAAAACTACACGTATATCAACAGCAATTTTATACGAATATCCGAATGATCAATTTCTGCTGTTTTTATCAATATTCGAAATTCATATCCAAAATGTGCCCATTGTAGACCAATCCATTTAAAGATGTGCTGCGTACATTTTCTATCTATTTCAAAGTATTTTAAACAATTACAAGTACGTGTAAATGAAACAAAAAGAAGTACCCACCTTGAACACATTCGAATGGTAGCACCCAGAACGGATCTTTTAGCAAGGAAATGTATATGAACCTAACAACATTGCCACATAGCCCAGCATATAAAACATTTATATGTCCTGAAACAATAAAAGAGATGACAATCAACAAATTAACTACTAATTTAAGACATACATTTTAATCAATATATTTATTTTATTTCTCTCGATTATATTAAAGAATGATTCTTTGACTAAAATCTTTACTAATGTACGTCAGTACATGTAAAAAATGTTATTTAACAAATGCTTTATGACATAAATACAGAATATAGAACATGATATCAAACAAATCACATGACTCTGACAGTTTGTTTCAAAATAAGCTATTCTCAATTGCACATGAAGAGGACAACGACATTTCCCAAGACACTAATTATTCAAACAATCAACAAATACAATATCTTAAATAAATGATGAGGAATAACAGTGAAATAGGTTACACTTGTATCGATTTATATAATTAACCGAAAGTAAACGTGAAATGTGACTTGACTTGTAAAATATACTGATTTAAAGACACATTCACATTAACAAATGCCTCATAAACAAATACATTTTTACTTCTTAAGAAAGGGCAGACATGAATTGTATATAAAAAATAATGGTTTTAGAGCATATTTGATGCGTGTTACCTGAATGTGAAATAATTTGTCAGAAAAGTAGCAAAATGTAAACAATTCACTTTTTTGACTTCCCTACATAAAACTTAAGTCGCTGTCATTGAATTTCTTGCCAAAAAGCAACAGAAAAAAGAAGATTCAGGTAAAACGGTCAATGGATAACTGTTCGGTTGGGAAACTTTAAAAATACACAATAATACTTTAAATACAAGCTGTCGAGAAATAACAATAATTTCTTTCTTTAAAGTGACGTGCTTTAGTACAATATAAATTATTGCCAGTTAGACTGGTAGCTTGGTAAGAATAGCAACAAGATATAAATTTATAAATGTGTGAATGCTGTATTGCACCTAGGTTTTAACAAATTCCAAACAGGATTCACAAGAATGTATTACTGTAGTGCTTTTAAAAATGTTGGGTATAAATATGACAATTAAGTTGCAGATTGCATATTAAAGCATGATTAGAAGGCAAAATACAAATTAAAAAATTGATGAGCCATATGGTAAATTGCGTCGCTGAAAATGCTTTGTAATTTACTTGCTTCGGAAAACAAAAATCGAGCAATAAATCTTGACAAAGTACTTTGGATAAATTGAAATGAGTATTTAAACATACATAAAATTACAAACAACGCATTAAGAAAAACTTACCATATGCAGCTATGAACCTAGAGCAAAGGAAATATGCAAGCAGCTCCGATATATGGTTGATTACAGACGCAACACCAAACAGTGTTGGATTACCACCGAGATCTTGTAGATGCCAAAACAGGAACGTGAAGATAAGCCCGATACCAAATCCCATGAACCATACCACAAAGAGCACAGAGATGAATTTCATTGATGACAGCAGTTTCAATACTGTCACCCAACGACCAAGAAAAGGTTCATCAGGATCTGGAGGAGCCATCGTTCCTGGGCTATTTATCACGTCAGTGACCATGTCTGTTTTTGATTGTAGTGAAATTTGTAAAGGTTTACCATTATCGTTTACTTTTGGCTCTTTTGTTTCATCCTGGTCAGACTCTGTTAAGGTATTTCTTGGCTGACCGAACTTAAATTCATCATCTTCTTCGACTAGTTGTTCACGATCTATTTTTCGTTTACCTGTGATAGTTTCTGTGACTTTGTCCTTCATAACCAAGAGAATGCTCGGCCATGATTTGTCTGCCCCCATATCCTGGCCAGGGAATCTAAACTGTGTCGCCGTTATCAAAGCACATATCATGAGGACCGTGAAAACAGCAAAGCAAACAACGTAGTTCTTTTCTTTACTGTGCTGGAATTCACAGGGGTGAGATGGATATGTTGAAGAGTGATCAAGGGCCATACCAACGAAGAGCATAGATAGACCCCAACCAAGGGAACCAAACATCCTTTGGCGACCATAGTTGTCTGTATCATCGCCAAGATAAGATAAAGTGACTGTGTCAGCAAATGTGATAGCAGGTGCACTGAAGAACTCACCTATCACGATAATCAGAAGTAGGGCAAAGAAAGCGTCTTTCACATCTTCTCGTTTGTAATAGACGGTACTATAGGCAGGCTTAATGAGGTCTTTATCAAAATTGATGATATCTGTATCGGTCATGTTTCCATTACCTACACATGCTTGGTGGGGTGGTTTAACAAAAGCCATTGCCAAGGTGAAAAATATCCAGCATAGCAATGAAAATAATGTTAAGTGATACCATTTCCTAACTTTGTCGGCTATGCCACCCCAAAATGGAGCACTGCAGAATTCAATAAATGGTCGAAAACCTATTAAAATTCCGCTCTGTGTCGCATTCATTCCGAGTTGTTTGAAATATATGGCCAACAATGGATACAACGATCCGAAGGCTGCGAAGAAAAAGAAGTAGAACAGTTTACATATGAGTAAATCCTTATTAACATATGTTAACAGTGAATCAATCATGTCTCTACGCACTCCCTTGGAATTGTAATCCATCTTTCTGATTATTACAGTACGCTTCCTCTTTTTATAATTCTTGCAGCAATCCGCTGTCTTGCAAAGTCAATTGGAATCAGAAGTCCCTAGCCAGGGTCACGTTTATCAACCACGTAGAACGATACTGCTTTTCCAGGAAATGAGAAATTCTGGAACTCTTAAATTGCAGACAATTGTATTGCTAATTCTTGGTTCAGATTTCCCCGCAGATTACGTCTAGCGGCCATCTGAAATTTGAAGCAAGCAAACTTTTCTTTTTTAGCAAATGTCAAAAGTTGAATTAATCGGAGGAAGAACCAAAACATTAACACAAAATTATCATTTAAACACTCGCGAACACTATAACGCTACAGACGGATAAACTGGTATTAAAGGTATATACAATGTATTATGCTCGTCTTAAAGTAAAATAATTTTACTGCACAAATTTATTGAAAATGGATAAATTCTTACTGAATATATCTACTTTGAAAATGAGAATGCACAAATCATGCACTGGAAGCTGCATTTCATATTACAAGCCAAGCTAAAGCGGTAGATAAGATGGTCCTTCCTTAAAAACATCAGTCAGTATCTTTTACGACACTTAAGATTTATAGTCTGTTTATCTTCAGTGTTTAGTGTTTTGAATGTGACATATTTTCTTCCCTGTGTGTACTTATATCATATTTGTTTTACAAAAATATAAATACTGTGTAGAAATTATCGATTTTTAAAAAAATACATCATACGTTTGCATGATACCTTAAATTAACATAGGAACAAGTTTGTAAAACAATATACGTTAAGTTTGTATCATTGATTTTTCCTACCGCCGGTCAAAAAGTTTTCATGATTGTGCAGGGGCCTTACCCTCTTTTAGGATTTTAGTTGAATTAAAATTATGTTATTTGAAGTAAAAAACCACTTAGCCTTTAATTTAAAGTAGTATCTGTAAAGAAACTGAACTTTATTAACTTTATAGATTCACTTTAAAACTAGGCCTTACGATATCTTATTAATGTAGCTATTGTTTATCTAGCAGATAATCTTGTTAGTTTTGATTTTATTTAGAATATCGATTTATTTCTATGTTTTGATAGAAGTATCTGTATATTTTATTACAGGATTTGATGAGGTGATGAACTCGCACTAATAAATTCCTTTTTGTATTTATTAGTTGGAAAAGATAAAATGCAGTATCAGGCAAATTAACGGCAAAATTGGAAAAAGTGGAATTCCTTCTATACAACCTATATAATACCTAATAACACTGTTCACGGCCAATGTCTGACCAGTTATCGAAAACTAGATTTTATAAAGAGCAATGCCCTTACGCAATGTCTATGTCTTCTTAATGAGAAATCTTATTTTCTATGTCTGTCCCTTTACCATTCTTAATTGGCTTTTTCATTATTTTCAAATTCCAATTTTCTTTTGTATTGACTTTTTTCAATGTTAACAGATCCATGTTTATTGCAATCAGATTATACCACCGTTGTAATCTGTGTTAATGTCATCCTTTTGAAATGAGAACACATCATACAGATTAAAAAAGGACAAATCGATATGGTAATCACCGGCTAATGATCTAGCAATGCACTAAGCCTATTCATTACCTCCAATAGAACAGCTACTTGTGCTTGCCAACAAACGGTAAATAGTTATTGAACGTCTTCCTTTTCTATGTTTGCTCTTCGTATCCGTAAATGATAGTTTTAGGGTTGTTTTAGTACATTCGACCGGATCTTATGTCTGCCATAAAGCATACTGCATTTTCATGCTATCTATACGGTTTTACTATAAACACAACGACTTTATGGATTTGAGTATTCTACGATTATTTAATGCGTTTCTCTGGAACATTGATTTTCAATTAATTTTGTTTCTATTTTCCAGAATAGCGCCGTCCCAGTACTTGAGATAGTCAATCAATTACTGTAATCATTTGGTCTAGATCTCATTACAGAAAAAAGCAAATATCTTGATTTTGCGGTTGTGAAATCAATTTCGGACGTATAATTATCTGCAAACACACTATATACTAGTGTATCTCAAAGCATTCCACTAATAGATTTAAAATAGATTTAATTGTTTGAACATGTTCAAATCGACTTGATCCTACACAAAAACACATACGAACTTTGAAATCGCATATGTCCTGTTACCTTATTAAGCATGGACATTAATAGACTCTTCATTATTTCTCCGATGTTTTTTTGCGCATTATTTGTCATTGCTACTCATAATATGTAAATAAATGTTTACAATTCATTATTTTCTCAGAGCCACCAACAACGATCAATCTTTAACATAGAATGGACTTTTTTACATCTCAGAATTATGATAAAAACTCAATAGGTCCATAAAGTCGTTTTTTTAAATAAACGAACTCGAAATTTTCAGAAACTTAGTTTTACATTCCCAACTTGAGGGTAAAATTCCTGCATGAAGTTTGTTAGTTGTTATTTGTTTTATATACCTATGTTTTTATTTTATACTTAACGCTGCTTTTGAATTATTGTACGTGACCGCCAAATATATTTCATATTGGACGATGTATTAACAAATTTATTTATCTTATAATCAGGAAATTTATATATCAATTTAAAGTGCGTTATTGTAAAACAGAATGTTCAAATGCGACATGTATGTAGTAAGTGATATCAGAAAGCATTTGAACAATAAACCTTACTACAACGCACGGAAAAATTATATCTATATCCATTCTAACATGATAATAAAACAAAATTGACAAAAACATGTTGAGCTACAGACTGTACATTTGGCGAAGTTATTTTTATGACGACATAGGGTTAATCGACGTCACATCTAACGTCATATGACGCGTAATCATTTCTTATTTATTCCGTGAATGTATAATAATGCACTCAAACTGCTCTGTATGCTTGGTAAGAAAATATTTTGAAGAGTGTTCATGTGGATAGTTGAGTTCTTTTGACCTTTACCAACGTCAAGGTATTATCTGTCGAGTTTCACGTTTCTCCAGCTTTTTACTCGTCCAAATATATTCCGTATTGTATAGATCAACATTAAAAAACCTTCATAAATAACCCCCTCTCTCTATATAAATATCAATTGATATTTACTCAGAGCAAATATCAATTTATGCTCAATTAAAATCAATATTACGGAGAATCTTACTGATTAGACCATTAACCATGCTTTAAAGTTCGGGTGTATTCGATTTTTTGCCATTGATAGTATTTGAACAGTGAAATGTTTTTTTTTTAAAGAAGATTTCATAGTTATAGACATATCAGCATTTTCTATTGATCTATTGACTTTTAAATCATTAATTGAGCACTCAATTGAAATGTCCTTTGCCAATTAACTGCTCTGTTCAGATATACTTATCTACTGTAACAATATCGCTATACGCAATGCACTCACCGTTGTTCCAGCGCAATATTTATAGAACATACCTTAAACTCCATCCGTTTGTTTCATTACTTTAATATAATGATTTCCGTTCACCTATCTCAGTTCATACAAAATTGATTTCCTACAACTTCAAGGTCAGACCGTGTTTCAAACCGTTCTCTTGGGACACCTCTAACATCAGCCATATTCAATTTATTTATTTATTACGCATTGGCGTGTCTTCCCTTAATGCATCTAATACATTTACGTTCATTATATGCAATGCTATAATAAGGATATTTGATAAAAAATATCAATATTGTATACGTGTATCAAATAACTAAATTAACCATGAAACTGTTTAAATGGATAACATTCAGATTTTTAGTATAACATTTTGCAGATTTATAAAAGAAACATCTATATTTCTTGAAAATTTTATTTTTCTAAACTCGGTAACAGTAACATTAAATTGTCAACATAAGTTGCATATTGAACTTTGCAGTAAGTTGCATACTGTTTAAAGTAAATATTCTATAAAGTAATCCATCACAAACATATGCAAACATTTCATCTATTCATGTATATTTCTTCTCCAAAATATTTTGTGCTGATTTTAAGCTGGTCATGTTTGTATATCTTACTCCTTATATTATAAATAAATTATTACCAATACTATCTTTCGTTATAAAATACATAAAAATCATAAAAACGAAAACAAAACAACAACAACATAATTAAGTCATTATCGTTATAATCGATATTCAAATCTAGAAAGAAAGTAAGATATATTGCTCTTACCTAGAAGTCTTTAAACACGTTAAGAAATCCAGATTATCTGAGAGCACTGTATAGAGATTCCAGTAATGCTAAAGCTGAAGGAAGAGATATTGATCGACCAGAAGCTACATTGTTATAAATTTTCCCCTCTCTCAAAATCGGACTGGCACCATCAAGCAATATTTTCTAGTCAGACTGCAAGGATCAATACGCCTTTTGATACAGAAATAACTCCCTGGTAACCCTGTCCAAAAACTTTTTCAATAAACAGCCGAATATATATCCTGTATAAAGCTGAATAAAGTCATATCACATATATGAACAGATATTATGAAGTGGAGCTTCATATTGATATTTTCCGATAAGTGAAGCCTCGGAAATTTATTGATCACAGTAGCTTACGCTTGAGCTATGTTGATACAAAACTATTTCAAAGGACCTTTACACAATGAACAGAAAAGTCATAATCTTTTCAATTAGGCGTATGAATAATCAGTCATTCAGAAAAAGAAAAATAAAGAAAGGAAGTAGATTAACTATTATTAAGAATCATATTCCTAACGTGCGAATACCATTTAGCAAGCAGCAACGGCTTTGCCAATTACGGAAAAGCAATGAACCTTATAACACAACTTTGAAATGAAATCTTTACAAGTCAAAATAACTAAAGCCTAATAACATAATTTTATTTTAAAAGAAAAGGAAATTATCCGTAAAGTAAAAACAAATATGGCAATGGGCATAACATAATTATCAAAACCCAACAGTATAGAGCTGAAGATAAAAATATATTTACTTCTAAAAGAGGAAAATATGATAAAGACTTATCATCTTTTGTGAATCCCTTTACTTTAAAAAAATCAATGAATTTGTAATGAAATTTTATTGAGTAAAATCTTGTTTATAAACCATACACCATATTTCGGTAATGTGCAAATGCTTAAATAATTAAGTCACCAAAATGTCATATGAAATTCATAATCATTGTTATATATATGATCTACATGGATTCCAAATAGTGCCTATCAGATAGTTATATTTGCTATAATAGTTAATATATTGATAAAATTTCGTGACATTATAACCAATACAAGCGTCTAAATTAGGAAGAGAGCTATGATCTTGTATCGACTAAAACGTCAGGGGTGATATCAGATTTGTTTTATCATTTAGGTTGTGCGCAACATTTAGCTCCATTTGTGTTAAATTGATAAAGATGTAATCAAAAGAATCGATTTCTGTATAATCTACTTTATTTACTGGTGTAATTTGATAATAACGAATAACTTTCTACTGGAATAGAAGGAAGTGCAAATAACAATGCATTCATCGCAATGTGGTTAATTTTGTTGTTGTAGAATATATTTTACAGTTGTAAAACTGTTGATTAAAATATAATGAAATCAGAAAAGATA